CCAATTTTTTATTAATTAAAATTTGCCCCCGACCCTATTCCGATCGATTGACTAAGGCACTTGAGAACACCCTTAGGGATTGAAGTATCGACTATAGTACAATTTTTAGAAAAGTTGGGATTATCGTTACAACGACTAAAACTCGAATATTATAATGAAACTTTATTATTAAAAACAATTAAGGACTTCTGCCCAAATATTACATATCTCAACATCTTATATACAGAGTTTTCCACACAACTCATAGAGCTTATTGGTAATTTACAAAAACTTCAATTCCTTACGTTACATTGCAAAGTTGGTATAGATAATCCAACAGAAGAAGAAGCTATAACACGAGTTAGGCAGTTTGCAAAAACGTTACCGTTGACATTGCAATATCTTGACTTAGTGGATAGTACTTGGCTGAATCCATATATTAATATTTTGCTTGATAATTGCAATGCACATTTAAAAAATTTGTTAATTAATGACATTGGTAACGAGAGGAAAACTAAAGCACTAATCGAATTCTGCATACGAAAAAGAACATTAAATTATGTGGGTTATCGGATGTTATTTAAAACATTTCATAAGGCAGTGAAAGCATATTTTACATTGGTATCATATGAACGAATTAAAGTTGATTGCTAGTTAGCTGCGCGACGTTGTGAATAGCATTGCATTTAGGAAATGTGCATTCAATAGAGATGGAATAAAGCAATATCTTTTTTTAAGGCATTTAAAAGAAATTGTCTATTAAAAAAATAATAATAGGAAATATTTGACATATATTATGATTGGTATTGAAAATAAAAATGAATAAAAAACGGAATGATAAAAATTTAAGTATATACCGGTATGGTATGTTATACGTCAGTTCATCGATTTTTTAAATTAAGGTACGTACGTAAGTCATTTTAAAAGTTATAAACCTGTTGACTTCGTAGAGAACCTGTTTATGAATTATCGAAAGTTCATACGAAAATATTAAAATCATAATCGTGGTATCCTATTAAACTTCTTAAATTGTTAAGCTCATCAGGATACAGAAGATGGCGGCACTAGATGTGTATTATTAGGTGAATGTAAACCCCATCACTAATATTAACTATCAAAAATTAGAGGTCTAAAGCCGGGTAGTTTTTAAAATTGATTATTACTAACAAATTTGTAAATTAAAATCACGTGACGCATATAAATTACTATTATACTGTTATATTTGGCTTTAAGCAATTTAAAGGATAATGTCGAATTTATGTTGGTTTCTAATTGATATAAGTCGTAATTTAACAGAAATCTTGAAGATAATACAAAATAATACCATATTGTATTATTATAAAGTCCATATTTCTATACAATACAGTACTGGTTTAACGTAAATTATGGATTCTGTCTTATTATTATACGTAAATGACATCAATCATGGGTGGGTGGGTGAGTACATGATCTACATGTATAAATCGTGAGAAAAAATGTGCTTTATATCTATACCAATTAGATTTAAGATTTTGCTTTCGATTTATTCTCCAGTAAAACCATCCCTAAAATTTTGCAAAAAAATTTTTTATTGAGAAAATTCCGGGTGAAAGTCACTTTCAAAACCACGTAACCACCACGCCTAGAATCGGCTAATAGAGCCCATAAAAAATTCAAAAAATTTTAATCGGAACTTATTTTTCATTAAATAAACCTTCTAACAAATTTTGTAGGGAAGATGTAAGATCATTAAAATCGGTTCAGTGGATCGTTAGATATGAGGGAAAAGTTTTTCAATTCTTTAAAATTTCTTATAAAATTTTCTAATTTTAAAGAATCGCGAAACTTTAACCTCATATCTCACGATCCACTGAACCGATTTTAATGATCTTACTAGCATTTGGAACGTCATCATCTTCTCTACAAAGTGAGAATCGGAGATTATGTAGATTTTAAGAATATTACCAATTTCAAATAAATATTATCTAAAATTATAGTGCAAACTCTTATGATCATGGATTTTTTTCTTCTTGTTATTTTTTGTACTTTATTACATAAGCACAATAGTCTCGAATTAAAATTTAGTTAGCCAATAACGATGATGATTTGTAAATCATGATCATAATTGCACGATAACATCAATATTGGGATCATGCGATGATAAATATCATAAAATTTGTTCTGCCGGAACAAATGGTTGACTGAAATGTGCCGCGCAGCGGCACATGTCAGCCATCATGAAATTTAATATGTCAAAACAAATAATTGTCCATCAAGTGCCGTATAACAGACATCCCAAAAAATTATTTGTTTCGACAGACCAAATTTTATGATATCGACCATTGTATAATTCAATAATAATATTTTCATGAAATTATGATCATTAAATTTTAATTCGAATTTGTATGCTTATGTAATAACATCAAAAAATAAGAATATATATATATATAATCTAAAAGTTTACACAATAGCCAATCAAAATCGAAACCAAGCCAATTTAAAATAATATATTAATTAAGACATAAGTCTCATATAACAACCTGACTATTCTTTATTTACTCATCATGAAAATAAATACACTAAAAATACAAATAAGATGGGTGGCGCTTATGCGCCACCCATTGCACTAGTATATTATTAATTATATGTGTGGCATTTCATAAGTTGACTATATGGGAGTGTGATTTATAAAGTTAGTCATCTATGGGCAAGTTGGCCTGATCACAAGTTTGATGATTAGATTGCGATTTACACGTCATTTTTGGAGTTCATAAGTGACAAAAAAATGTAATAATATATCCTGCGATTTATGCATTATTAGGAGACAGGATTCTTGATTGTAGGTTTATGAATAAATTTTATTCTTTAATGCTTCTTTGATTGCAGTCTCACATATTTGTTCTAGCTCAGCATTAATATTTGAATGGCGGTTTGAGGTACGACAGACCTCAAACATCATGAACATTTAGAAGGAATCAAATTTTGACATACAAAGATAAAGGTCCACTTTGGCATTATAGCTTACAGGAGTGGAATTCTTCGAACATTCTTTATTGATCATAAAGCTTTTTATAATTTTTGTAAGATAATGTAAACCAATCATTAGTGATCGATTATTATAAAGAAATTATTAAATGTATTATTATTAAATAAGAGACAATTACAAATAAAATGATAAATGTAAGAAATAAAAGAGAATAATATAAATAATACTAATAACGAAGAAAAATAAAGGATTGGTACAATTAAAGCATAAGCAGGGTTGTTAATAGACCAGTTTTTAGACCATTTAGACATATTGTAGTCTTAATATTTTTTTATTTACAACATCCGGCATGTTTGCACTTCTTTCTAGCACAACACTCAGCCCCAATAATTGGTATGTAACAATCTTTACAAGGACAACCACGACTGTAAAGTGTACGAACAGTGACTTTTTCGGTGAAGCCATCAAGCTCAACATCAGAAGGAAAGCCCTCCGTTTTGAGAGAAGCAAACCCCTATTTAATGATTAGATTTTTTTACTTAAATGAATAATCAAGCCTTAGCAAGCATCAAATATACACAAACCAGGAAAAGAATGAGGAGCTCCAACGAGATGAAAATTTGTTTGAAATTCATTGTTCAGGACGATTTCTTGTAGGAGTTGAATTTAGTAATGTTGAGTGTTTGCCCTTGCTTTTTATTTTTGTGCAAGTGGTTTTATATATCGAAATCCATAAATACATAAGAAGCAAAACACATGGTTATTATCCCTTTTGACGTCAATTTCGTACAAAATGACATACAATTTCGTACAAAGTTACATTCAATTTCATACAAAATGACATTTAAATTCGTACAAAGTGACATTCAAATCTGTCAAAATGACAATTAAAATAAGTTGATTAAATTGTGATATCTCGTGATTTAGTAATCCAATATAGATTCTTTTGGTACCATTCGAATCGTCTCATCGAGAGGATTCGGATCCCTATAAGAAAAATGTATTGTAATTGTATGGGTTGGCTCGGAATGGCACGGGTTTCGGTGGCACGGATCAAGCCCGGGTTTTGTACGTAAGAGGCTCGAAGTGGCACGGATCAAGCACGTAAGAGGCTCGAAGTGGCACGGATTTTTGGCTCGTGTCGGTCCGTATACCAGTGCCAATTGGACCGTCAATGACTCGGGTTTTGCAACACTTTACTAGTCCAATTGGTACGGGTTTTGGTGTGCAAAATTCTGCAAGGAATATTTTTCGTTAAGATACCCAGAACAATTTAATAATTGAAATGACCAGTCGCTTGAATTATGTAAGTTTACAGTGAAAGCTTGAATTTTCGCTTATAGGTTTTAATTTGGCAACATTTCTGAGAAGCAACTTTAAATTAGAATTACAAATATTCACTTTGCAGCACTCATCTCTCGATGGCACTATTACGTGCAGTATCTTTGTATCATTTACTTCTATCTTAACTCAGTTCAACGGTTATTCGCAATTCAAGTGTTCAATCGTCGAGTTAAGCACAAATAGTTACTTTAGATTATTCTACTTCCGTTGACAATTCTAAAATCGGTGTGTTTGACGCTAGACAGGGGTAGCTTGTATAACCAAAGTTTAGGTTATATTAGGTTGAAAAATGCGTGTTAGATTTGGTTGAGTGGTTAGGCAGAGTTTTAGTTTTTAGCGAATGTATGAGTTTATTATGTATTATGTTAGAGGTAGAATTATATATTTTAATAAAGACGCTTTTATGATTATAAGAATGTACTAATAAAGCAAAGGCGGAAGTTGTTATTCTCGAAGGGCCAAAAGGTCTTTATTTATAATAATTCAACATTTATTTTCACATGCCAGAATAGGCATTATAGCCAGAATTATCCTTATTGCTGTAATTATCATTCGATATATTCTCTCTTTTCGCCTAATTGTCCGTATTCGAATAATTCTCCGAATTTCCGAATTCCCGGGGTTTCCTGTAAACCCAAATTTAGAATTTCCGGGTCATGCGGGCACATGCCTGAGATCAGGTCACGTTTATACTATGGAATGTATGTTTATTCAAAAACAAACAACACCTTTAAATGTTCAAAATTAGACATGTTACTATAATAAAATGATTTTTTTAGTCATACCCTCAAAAAAAAAAAAAAAAAGATAATTTTAATGCGCCAAATCTGTAATTTAAGTTTATAAAATCGTCCACTATTTTAAATAATTAAATAAAATTATTTTATGCTCTTTAATTATACAGTAATTATATAATTGTAATAATAAATTTTTTTTTTTTCAAGACTTCATCGCCAGTTATTTATCAATTAGTTAACATTTGTAACTAATAATGAATTTATATTAGACTTAATTATACCAGTATACAAACGCTTTTGACGAAGATTTATAAGTTCAAATGGAATGCAGAATTTGTATAAATGACTTCCCATAATTTGTCCCCGCTGTAATTTCCAAAAAAGTCTAGGGTTTTTAATGTATTATTTTTACATGGTGTTTCTGCAAAAGTTTTTCCAACCTCAAAATCAAGCTGATTAAATGAAATGTTTAAGTAAATCAGAGTAGAGTTTATGGAAAGAGCCTTTGCCAGAGCTTTTCCTCCTTCGGAACCAATCTTATTATGTTCAAGCGCTAAATTATTTAGAGTAGTATTTATGCAAAGTGCTTCTGCTAGAGCTTTTCCTACGTCGGAACAAAGATCATTAACAGAGATATCTAAGAAAGTATTTATTCGAAGAGCTTCAGCTAATGCCTTTCCTCCTTCTGTACCAATATAATTCTGTTTAATATCTAAGGAAGTTAGGGTAGTATTTATGCAAAGTGCATTGGCTATTGCTTTTGCGCCTTTAACCCAATATTATTGTAACTAATATTTAAAGAAGTTAAGGTACTATTTTTATAAAGATTCTCCGTCAATGCTTTTACTCCTTCACAACCAATTGCACTATATTTAAGTTTTAAGGAAGTTAGAATAGTGTTTATGCAAAGAGCATTCATTATTATTTTTCTTTCTTTAAAGAAAATTATTTGAAAGATCCAAACAAGTTAAAGTCGTATTTTTGTTAATAATCCCGTTAATGTATTTATTTCCTCGAAACCAAAATGACGAAATTTCAGTCGTAAATTGATTATAGTAGTATTCGTGTAAAGAGTTTTAAATATAGTTATATTAATATTTCCAAACAATTTTAAATATTTAAGCCTTTCACCTGTTTGTATAAACATTGCGACCAAAGAACTTCTAATGGCATTTAAAAGCTCATCATCTGAATCGTGTTCTCCACACTCATTTTCTTCTTCATCAAGCCAATTCATGATTCCACAGTTCATATGTTCACCAACAATAGTAGTATACTTTGTGTACTCAAATAACGGTTTTTGATAGTTTGGAAGAACAATCTTGAATGGGATTAATAATGCTTGTTCTTCAGCATTTATTGCCAAAAGATACATATCTATAAGTCTTCTACTATTATCGAAATATTCCAGTGGTTCACTCCAGAATATTGGTACAATAATACGGCACCATTTTCGGTTTACAAGAAGACATGAATATAAACTTCTATAATATATCTCTCCATCCTCATTTCTGAGGTTGTTAAATATTTCGAAAAGGCATTCATTTGGTAATAAATTTATCATCTTAAATTCAAAAAAATTCTTAACACAACGATGAAAAACACCACCGTTATATATCAAATTCGAAATGTCATGAAACGTATACGCATTAATTTGCCACTAAAATTAAATAAACAATTCTTTATATATATTTTTCAATTATATATATGTGTTATATAAGTCACTCTCGTTATAATAAAATGACGATTCATTAATGAAATTTTAAAAACTCAATATATCGAGAATTTGATTAGTACATTTACTATACCAGGGAATTTATATAAATGTTTTGAGTCTGACTTCGCAACAACTATTCTTCACTATACTGAGAGTTCACTATTACGAGAGTGACTTGCATATTATTATATTTTTTGTAGACATTCATTTCAGCAATAATTTTGGCCATTTTATCTACTGAATATGCGCACTGTCATATAGTTTTGCCTTATTTCTATAAGTTACTAATTTTTGACTTTTATAATAGCGACAAGTTTGTCAAATTTCTCATGCGGTATTTTTAGAATTTGTTCAAAAAATTTACGAGCCAAAGAAGATTATTAAATAAGATATAAAATTTCAATAATACTTCACGATACTTAAATGAGCGAACAGTAAACTGCTTTTTTTTTGCTTTATATGAATGATACGTAATCAATTAAAGCTGTATGAATGATACGTAATCAATTAAAGCTGTTTTAACTTATAGCATCAACATGTGGCGTAGTCATTCATTGATCAGCGAAAATTCAAAAATGACGCATCTCGATTTCGAATTGATTGAATCATTAAGTTAACCTATATAAATATGACACGAAGCTTCTTTATTAACATAATACAAATTTTGACGTAAGAAATTCTTTGTGGCCTTGCTAATATGTAAAGCAGCAAGCATTCGAAATATCAGTATAGACGGAGAAAAATAGATCAATATGATACGGTTTACCATACTGATTTTATCTAATAATATAATTATTGTGACATCTGGTCAATATGATATAGTTTTTAGATTATAAACCGTACCATACAAATCAGTTATTATATATAATAGCCAACGAGTATGGTTTCTTAAATAGTATCGTACACCCCTCCATACCAGATTGAACAGATCACCCATGCCATACTGATACGTATTCGTTTTACTTAAAATAAATTTGTCTAATTGGTCAAATATAAATCAATTGCTCAGATACATATATACTGTATTTATGCGTTTTTAAACGCTCCTTGATATCATCTCATTATTAGAAAATCAGCATGAAGACTATTATCAGCTTTAAATGGACGTTAAAATTCATTGCGCAAAGGATCCTAAAAATTAATGTGCTTATAGAATTATTGAATATAAACGTTTCTGACATAATCTCACAGAAATAGGATTTAGAACAAAATATTGAATGAAAAATTAAAATCTGTAATTAAATATCTGAGTTTTACCTCATCAATGTTAATTCTATTGCGAAAATTATTTAGTAATTCCTCTTCGTACAATTTCGATCGCCAATTCAAGGACAAATAACGTTACTTTGGATAATACCTTTTACATTCTAGCTTTAAAAAAATCATATTTCGGCAGAAATTTTATTTATCGAAAACAAATCTTTAAAAGTCAAATTAGATTCGTGTCTAAATATTCAAAATCTGAAGTTTTACTATTATAATTCTAATTCATTTAGATGTATCTAGTGATGTTAAAAATAGGTGTCACATTCAATAATATATGAATAATAAAAATTTTTTTAACATATCACGGCGTGTGACAATTGAATTTTTGGCATCTGTATCCTGAAAAGAATTTAATTTAAAGCGTTAAATTTGGAATTTTAAGTTTATAAAATTGATCACTATTTTAAATAATAAATGAAATTATTTTATACCTATTTAATTATACTTAAAACATTTATAGTAAAGATTAATAAAATTCAAACAAGAACACATGCTGTTTTTTAATGCGTCTTTATGACCTAATGATTTTTATGTTGATTTATTAAAAGTTAATAATACATTAATGTTACAT